ACTTCCCTTATTTTAAATTTCTGACATTTTGGACGACTTTGACGTTTCGCTTTTTGACGATCACGTAATTTTACTTAGAAAATTTATTTTTTACAATAGTTTTCCATTTTACTATGAGTAACATAAAATAATGGGTATCAGCAGAAAATCACAAACAAAAATAAACACTTTTTGAGGCTGAAATTTATAAACATAGCTATCAGCTGTCAAAATTATGAATAAAAAATAAGGTAATGCTCTAGCACCTACTACAGTCTTCCAATAACTGTTTTTTTCTTGGAAAAATAGTGCTGATGCACTAATATAATAGCGTAAAGTCTGGGTTTCTTTTCAAAGATAATTCCCCAAGTCAAAAATTTAGTAACTTTGTTGGCAACACAAGCCTTTTCTACATAAAAAATTTGAAAGCATTGACAATTTTACATTGTATTGCCAACATAATGTCATTTTCACATTTATCTTCAATAAAAAAAATAGACTTTATTCTCGACTTTATTATTATATTGTTGAAAAAGGAAATATTGTTGTTAGTGGATACAGGGCATCGCACTTAACCCAACATAATTAGTTAATTCTATGCTTAAAAAAAAAAACTATAAAATTATTATTTCAATTAAAAGTGACAATTATTATTCTTACACTCTTACATAATATTTTGTTTACAAACTTTTTAACTATTTAATATTTTATAAAAGGTATGACATAAAAAAAAGTTAAAATATCTCACATTAAAAACAAAGAATAAACAATTCATTGCATAAGCAATTTAAAAATAGTTATTTATGCAACAAGTGTGTAAAGTGAACCTCTTTTCACGAATGTGAATTTTGACAATCACATGAGTGAAAAAAGGTGCTTTACGCACGTATTGCATACAAAATTTTTTCTACTACCAATCAAATATGTGTAAAAAAATTAATTTAGTCAAATACTTTACGCACTAGTGCGTAAGGAATTTTCATTTTACGAACTAGTGCGTGAAGTGATTTACCAGAAAAATGCCAAATTGACAGTGTCGATATCTGTCATTGACATTACTTTACGCACTAATGTGTGAAGTGAATTACTTTACGCACTAGTGCGTGAAGTGAAATTTTACGTCTTCTCAATAGCGCGTAAAGTGAGTACTTTACGCACGGTAGTAGAAAATAGCTATTTATACAATAAGTTACGAAATGAGAGTCTTTTAGGCACGCGACGTGAAAATTGTCCAACGAGGCAAAGCCGAGTTGGACAACACGTCGAGTGACTAAAAGACATCGTTTCGTAACGTATTGTATACAAGATTTTTTCTACTGGCATTTTATAATAAAAAAACACAATTTTATTTCATGTGAATAAGTCGATTACACCCAAAATCTTTGTCACCTGCTTTTACTTGACACCTGACACTTTTCATGCGATTTTCTTTTCAAAATTCGACATCAATAATTAAAATCCTAGAAAGTAGGTAATAACACAAAGTTCTGTTTTGAGTAACCCAAACGTTCAATTCAGTAATTCCATTTTCAATATTCATAATAAATACAAAACAAAATTCAAATATGTGTTTAGTGTTGTTTTTTATTTCTGAATAATGAATGACACTTTTAGGCACTAGTGCTTAAAAATTACTTTTACGCACTCATAAGTCACTTTTACGCATTCAAAAGTCACTTTTACGCACTGAGTGCCTAAAAGTAACTTTCACGCACTCAGTGCCTAAAAGAATGCCGTTTCAAAACTGAAATGACAATCGAAAAGTTGCTATTATGAAACGTCAGTAGAAAAAGTGTTTTTGTTACTTCCGCCATTTAGGCTAAAATAAAATATCATGTGTTATATATCGTTTTTTCCCCAACAACTGAACCAATAAGATACAGGATGTTCCATTTGAAACATCTTTGTTATTTCGAATATCTCAGAAGATAAAGCCTCCATATTTTTTCTCACCACTGGATTATACGTAATAGTATAGTATACGTATTTTTCCCATTTGAGCTTTTTCTGTATCTCCCTATGGTAAGGAGTTATAGAGGATTATAAAAAACAGCTGATTTTGAAAAACACCCTGTACCTCGCAAACCAAACTTGTTGGCCAATATCTGACTACACCATCAAATGATAGACTGAAAAAGAGGACGGGACGCGTATATCAGTTTCTCAGTAGCTTCGGCCATTTTGGCTGTACCCTGTAAAACTATCGAAAATCAACCACCCTGTATACTGCGGATATTCCAAAATTCCAGAATACAAATCTGGCGCTGTACGCAGATGATACCGCGGTTCACGATCAATCCTTTCGTACGCAAGCAACAAAATTTCAGCTAGCACATCATCTTTCAATCCTTCAACCCTATTATGATAAGTGGAAGCTTGTGCCAATGGACAGAAAACAGAACTAGTTTGCTTCCACAAAAAGCTTACACATAGCATCATGCCCACCCCACCTAGGCATCATCTTCGACCAGAGAATGAAATTCCACCACCACGTGTCCCACGCTTTGGCATGCGCAACAAAAACTCTACCCCCTCATAGGTCTCAACTCCTCTCTATCTCCCGATAATAAACTTCGTATTTACAAGCAGGTCATAAGACCAATGCTCACATATGGGGTGCCTGTCTGGAACGTGATATCTAGAACACAGAAGAACCGCCTCCAGTGCTTCCAAAACAGAATTTTGAGGGGAGTCCTGTCAGAGTTCAGGTACGCCAGAATAGGGGATATACATGCGCAAGCATACATTCCTTATATCCCAGACTACCTGAATGATGTCGGCGACAAATTCTACAGATCACAAATCCAAGGCTCCCCACTCACGCGTAGCCTTACTGCGGCAAAAGGCACAATGTTCTTATTTTCCTTTATTTATTAAAAAAAAATAATTAAAAGTGGGGTCTTTTATCTAAATTTCTCCCCATTCAAAGGGCGCTTCGCGCTCTACAACCCCAACTCCGAGCATCACTCAACATCTTCAGGTAGGTCAGGATAATGGTCCAATGCTCTCCATGCCATTAATGGTATTTTTCAGCGATCCTAGCGTCACTTAAACGGTGTTTGAGGGCAACCTGGTAATGTTGCGGAGATATTTCGAAGCAAGGATAGGAACAGGGGCTTGGTGGTCATGAAATCTGACCCCAAATAGAGTTGCGCGAACAGCACGCTAGGCGTGATTGTGCGCACAGTGTCCTGCGTCCCACTGATTGTTTAGTTTAAGTCCAAGTTCTAGAATTAAGTTCAATGTTATATGGTTGTTTGAGGGGGGCTTAACTCCCCTACCTGAAATTTGTAACAGTTAGGAGTTTAATTATTTAAATAAAGAGATTTGACTTGACTTGAGTTTCTGGAGAACCAAAACAGATTAAAAGAGGTAATCGAAGCATGTACCCAAAAAGAAGCATATCTTAGATGAGACTCCACCAATGCACCAATTAGACATTGCGGGCGACCTCCTTCGTAAGTTCTTGATAAGTTGAGCGAACTGAGTAACTCACACAATCGTACGCCTCAGATAAGTCACAAAATACTGCAGCGAATTAAATCAAAAAATAGGTACTTTATTATCCAAGAAAATCAAATTTCTATTGACAAAGCATGTTACTTTCTAAATTCTCCAAAGTAAAGTAGGTACAATAAAATTATAAATGAAAATGCAATTGCTATAGCTAGTCTAAGTATAAAATATCTAATAATTTAATATAGAAAACATTATGAACGTGTTCAAAATATAAACAACACAACACATCAAAATAACAGGTTAGGAGAAACGATCCAACAGCTGACAGAAAATCCTTTCCGTTAACGGTAAGCGGCATGTCTCGAACGACTCTAAAACGTTTACGTCTATGTTAAGCGCCAGAATGAGCACATCTTCGAAAACTCCCTATTATGACATAGAGTTACCTAATACTTGCTGCTTGAGTTAATGTCGTAGCTTTCTTTAGGTTTGTTTGATTTTTTCCAAATTGTTTGCATGCTTTTTATTGATTTTGAAGATATTTGTATTTTGAACTTCTTTGATTAATTTAATAAATTTCTTAATATTTCCTGTATTTCTTTACTATATCTACCTTTATCTTTTCCATTTTCTAAAACATTTTCAGATTTTTCAATAACCTTCACTCACGATTCTTTATTATTGTTCAATTTCTTTATTTTGAGTATATGTTTCAACAATTGGTTGCTCTTTAGCCAAGTTACCTATGTTTAATTCCTTGATTTTTCGAAAAACTTTTGATTTGTCTTTGGGGGATCAATGACCAATAATTGAAAGCTAGTTGGGGATTGGCTTTATTTACCTTGGTGGTTCCTAAATATTTGGTTGGTCATTATTGCCTTGATTTTGAAAATTTGAATGATGATCGGGGTGATATTGACCGCGATTATTTTGTTGGTTAGAATTAGGAAAATTTTGATAAATGGGCATTTTTTCTAGGATGACTTTGATGAATATATATTTAATTATATAAATTAGAATTAAATCGTTGTCTGAGGCTATTTTTGATTATGGAGTCTTTGATTGTTTTTGTTGATGATAATTACGACTGCAGTTTTATAATACCCACCCTTACACCTTGATTAAAATTTTTATTTCCAGAATTTTGGAGGACGTTTTCAGTTTCCTTAACTGATGTTTTAAAAACGTTCTGTCGGGTCGGCTACGTTTTTCTTGAGTATTCTCGTATCTCTCATTCTTTGTACAGTGTGTCCCGTTTTGGTTGTCCATAAGGGATAACTCGGTTGCTATTGGAGTTAGAAATGATGCGGCTTCTGCGGACCAGTTTTCCTCTAGAAGTGATAGTTTTTCAATTATGAACCAAACATACGTTTTCTCAAATGAGACACCCTGTATATTAATAGTTCACTGGATAGCTCTGCTTTTGCTGATTTCAATGATATAAATGAAATAAAGTTCGATAGGTTTATCTCTATCATGTCCAGTGGCGCACCCAGGAGGTGCCCCACTATAATATTTTAGAAAAGGTATGACATAAAAAAAAATTGAAATATCTCACATTAAAAACAAAGAATATATAACTCATTGCAAAAGCAATTTAAAAATAGCTATTTATGCAATAAGTGTGTAAAGTGAACCTTTTCTCACGAATGTGAATTTTGACGACAATCACATGAGTGCGTGCTTTTCACACATATTGCATACAATTTTTTTTTCAACTACCTTGCGTAAATTACTCACTTTACGCACTCTTCAAAATATGTAAAACTTCACTTCACACACTAGTGCGTAAAGTAATTCACTTTACACCAGTAAAAGTAATGTCAATGACAGATGTCGACACTGTCAAGTCAATTTAGTATTTTTTCTACTACCGTGCGTAAAGTACTCACTTTACGCACTATTCAGAAAACGTAAAATTCCACTTCACGCACTAGTGCGTAAAGTAATTCACTTCACACACTGGTGCGTAAAGTAATGTCAATGACAGATGTTGACACTGTCACTAGTATTTTTCTGGTAAATTACTTCACGCACTAGTGCGTAAAGTGAAAATACTTCACGCACTAGTTCGTAAAGTATTTGTCTAAATCTATTTTTTCACACATATTTGATTGGTAGTAGAAAAAATTTTGTATGCAATACGTGCGTAAAGCCCCTTTTTTCACTCATGTGATTGTCGTACTCGCCTTCGGCTCGTGCGTCAAAATTCACATTCGTGAAAAAAGGTTCACTTTACACACTTGTTGCATAAATAACTATATTCTTGTAAATTGCTTCACGCACTAGTGCGTAAATTGAAAATACTTGACACACTAGTGTGTAAATTTTTTTTCTAAATTTATTTTTGTATTGATATAGTGGAAAAACGTGTTTTTTGTTACTTTCGCTATTTAGGCCAAAACAAAATATCATGTATTATATATCGTTGAACTCGCAATTTTTTTTCCAAACTACTGAACCAATAAAATACAGGGTTTTCCATTTGGAAATTCTTTGTTTTTTCGAATATCTGAGAACATAAAGCCCCCATATTTTTTTCTAAGTACGCCACTGGCTTGTATGTAAAAAAAGAAGTATTTTTCCTATTTGCACTTTTTCTATATCTCCCTAGGGTAAGAAGTTATAGAGGATTATAAAAAATAGCTGGATTTTGAAAAACACCCTGTACCTCGCAAACCAAACTTGTTGGCTAAGATCTGACTACACCATCAAATGACACACTAAAAAAGAGGATGGGAAGCGTATGTCAGTTTCTCAGTAACTTCGGCCATTTTGGCTGTACCCTATAAAACTATCGAAAATCAACCACCCTATACATGTTCGAACCAAATGCAATCATAATTTCTTTTATTTTTTGGTTTGTTATCCTTCCCGTGTTTGGCCTGACTGCCTCTCCCCTCCAAAAGTCCATTATATTTGTCTCTATCATTTTTGCGGTTTGGTGGCCATCCAGATCTCTTAACTATGTGATTAAGATTTCGACGATGAGGTTCTTTATTCTGTTTTTGCTTCTTCTGTCTATTTTTTTTTGTGTGTTATTGTGGTATCGGTATATCGTTACTTTTGATGGTCCTAATGTTTGTTAGTACTGTCTTACTTTCTGTGTTCTCCTGTTTTTGTTTTATTTGAACTTAGCTATTGCTGGCATTTCTTTCTTTTATATGCTGCACCAATCAGGTTTTTGCGTCTCTTCGTGTTTGCCTGCTTCAAATGCTGTACTGCGAACACTTTTTTTTGTAGGTATTCAGGAAATGCGTTTATTGCTTGTTTAGTTTTATTTTTTTACTTGTATTTATGATGTAAGTATTTATTTATGCTGAAAGTATCCATTGAGAAGTTTCCGGTTATTCTGTTGGCATATTGATATCAGCCTTCATTGTTATTTTTTGTTATTGCCTCTAAATTTTTTGATTACATAGTCGAAGCTTTCACTTCGTGTTTGCCTATTGAAGTCTCCTACTATCATGATAATTCAATCACTGAGTTATTGATAGGATGCATCTTTCATTGATACAAACATATTTTTCATTTTATTATTATTTCAAAAGCTAGTGCAAATCAAAAAAAAAATCGGATTGTTATGTATTATCGACATATTTCACATCTCACGGTACTTGAGATAAATACCTAATAGTATTATTATATGAATCTGAATGAGGTTTAGATTAGACAAAAACTAACAAAATTTTGAGATTGCTGTAGGTACCTATATTGTAATCTATTTTTTGAAAATTATCAGCTATAATATCCCTAGAACATTGATGATGTTTAATATAAGATTATGTCAATCAAAAGCCCGACGCCAGAGGAATAAAGAAAAATTGAACATAAAAGGAATTTCGAATAGAAATTTTGAATAAAGTGATGACAAAGTATATGTAGGTGGTATACTATCCAATTTTGGCATGTTACACAATAATATTTTTCTCCAAACGTCAAAAAAACGTCACTTTGTTAACGCCTGTCAAGATGTCAGAAATTTAATTTCTATGCTGCTAGACAAATCCAGCGGGTTAACACCTGTCGAGGTGGTAGAAATTTAATTTCTATGCTGCTAGGCAACCGCAGCGGCAGTAGAAGTACTTTTACTGCCGCTCAACCATTCAGTTACCCCCGAGCTCACCCCATTCGTTTGGAGAAAAAATAGCGTGTTGCATACGGAGTAGAAGCACTTTTTTGTGCTTCAGCAGTATTGCAAGCCTCACTACGTTCGGCTCGCAAACCTACTGCTTCAGCACAAAAAAGTAAAGCTTCTACTCCTAATACAACAATATACTATTACCTGTTATCAAATACAATTAAAACCAAACTATTGAAGAAAGAAACAGTTTGAGAATTATAATCAACAGCATGAATTTGGGCAATTCCGAATGATTATTCCAAATCATTCCAGTTTTTTTTTAATACGAAACTGCTATTGGAGATTTTACATAAAAACCAGAGTCAATAATTTCACAGTAGGAAGAAATTAAAATACTGTTTATAGAGAAACGGCTCTCATTGTAACATACCTACGTGAACATAATTCATTTAATATTTAAATAGGAAATAAATTCATGATTCCTTGTATAGATACAAAGAATGCCATTAGAAATTGTTATTAGATTGCTAATACAAAATATTAGTTCGCAATATTTTTACCACTTTATTTGAATCATTAGATTTAAATGATTCTTCACTTCCGAGCGAACATCTTGAATGTGAAACGGTATAGATTTACTAATTATATTCGGTTATGTAGATAATTACTAGAAATTTGCGTTAGGATTTATTGAAATATTGCATGTATTGTTGTTATTAATTTATATGCAACCAGAAGTGAAGGCACATTTTTTTTGATTCTAATTAATACGGTTTTTAGTAGTCAACAAAGCAATATTTTATATCTATCATAAACAGTATTTGATTAAATAAAAATAGTTTTATTATATAATTTATTACTCTTATTTATCAGTTAAATAATTAATCGTCTAAAATTCTTGTAGAAGTAAGATTTTGATACCAGTATCCAGAGTCTTTCCATGTTCTCTTTCTATCGACGTCATCAAAATCGACACGAATTAAACCGAATTTGGCTCTACAAATGCCACAATGTTAATTTTGTATTTGTTTATACTTTTTTTTTATTGTACTTACTTGTAGCTACCCCATTCAAAATTATCGATAAGTGACCAAACTGAATAGCCAATAACATTAATATTGTCTTCTTCAACTGCATCTAGAATGTTACCAAGGAAATCCTAAAAAACAAAGTGCATTAGATTCTTGGATCTAAAACAGAAATATTCGTACCTTAAGGACCTTTATTCTATCGGCATCATTAAGTATATCGTCGGTACGATATCCATTTTCTGTTATAAGAATGGCCTTCGGATTGTACCTATGAAATCAGATTTAAAACGTAATCGTTAAGTTTCAAGACATCTCACCTCTCTTGTAGATAATTGAGTTTTTTCCTAAGCATAAATCCAGAAGGTATAAGATTATTATACGTTTTAACGCTGCGATCAAAGTCATAGCTAGGATAGCTTATCGGTTCATCATCTTGATATTCGACCATGTAATGACCATATCTGGAATGCCACGAAATTAAACCATTACTGGCCAAGGCAAGTAAAACAGGATGTTTTTTTTATTTTTTTATTTAAGTGTATTTAAAATGCATAAATTAAGACAGATTTCCAAAAAAAAAAAAATATACACATAATTTTTGAAGATAAAATCATAGGTGCGTATACGCACCCTTGGCCAAAAACAGTTAATGATATTACTAAGAAAACTTAGTTTCTAGAGTGGAAATTTTCAAAGCAGTCTGGGTGCAAATGCACCTTACACTTTTTACACAGATAAATACTGTTACTTTTGCATAATCGACACTTTTTCCTTGCACTATTAACCTCCCTAATTATGATATGATTGATTTTATCAAATCTCACATCAGCTGGTATAGCGGATTTGGAGGGTCTTCCATTGTTTGAAGTATTTGAAGCATCATGGTTACCTTCCTCTCCGTCATACTTTAGCAAGCAGAGTGCTAAGTTCGAGCGAAATTCTACTTGAGACATTTTGGATTTATTCGCTATATTGTAGATTTTCCAACTGTTTACCACCATGCTGCCTATCATATTAGTAAACAAAGGCCACCACCATTTTTTGCCTCTTATTCCGATGCGATAGTTGGCGATACCATTATCATGGAGGTCTACCCCACCCATATGTTGATTGTATTGATGAATTACATTTGGCTGAGGGATAAGAATTTCCTTGCGCTCCTTTCGGTTGTAGCGTTTTGTCTGCATGAGTTGTAAAACATTACATGCATTTGTCATTACCGTGACTACAGAATTGTCATTCCATCTTGTTACAAGCACTCCCAAGTTTGGGTCAAAGGCAGAAGTATAAGAGCCTCTTTCCTTTTTTGCCATGGCTTTATTATCTTCAACTGGACATTTAGCGGTTCGATTCTCTCTCACTGTTCCGGTTGCAAAGAAGCTATTTTCTATCAATTTTTCAAAAAGGGAATAGGACGTGAAAAAGTTATCGAAAATTATTTTATGCTGTTGTGGATTTTCAACCGCAGACAATAGATCTAATACAACTCTTGTTCCTAATGGATTATTTTTGTCTGACGTTTCTGCTTTTCCACCATATGGAATAAACTTGAACAAGTAACCAGTATCGCAACAAAGACACCATATTTTGAATCCGAATCTCACTGGTTTTCCACGAATGAACATTTTGCATGAGTGACGCCCGAAATATGGAACCATTTCTTCATCTATTGAAAGATGTTCGGCAAAGATCCCAAACTGTAAATATTTTCTATTTATAATTTCAAAAATAGGCGCAAGCTTTGCAAAGGACCCCGCACATTTCTTATGGAAAAGTGATCTATGTGGAATTTTGCTGAATTTTTGATATTGTGTATAGGGAGTCGTCCTTAACAAAAGTGATCATTGCGCTAATGTTCAATACTCAACAGTTTTCAAGATATCAATTAAAAACTTTTTTAAAAATACTCTTCAGTATGACGTCACTCACAGCAACGAAAATTATTACTATCCTTTCCACTTTTGACTTTGACTTTACTCTTCTCCTTTTAACATTGAGAAAAAAAAAAGATAGCGATAGCGATTAGTGATAAATAGGTAGGTATGCAAACAACACCTAGCTCCTACCGCAATCTGTCAACTTCATGTCATGATGTCTGTCATATAGCGATTTCATTTGTACCTGTTGTTGTTTTTTTTTATTTCCTAAATGTTAAAAGGAGAAGAGTATAAGTATAGGTAGTCAAAGTTAAAAGTGAAAAGGATAGTTTTAATTTTCGGTGCTGTGAGCATACTGGTGACGTCATACTGAAGAGTATCAAATTAAAAAAGTTTTTAATTGGTATCTTGAAAACTGTTGGGTATTGAACATTAGCGCAATGATCACTTTTGTTAAGGACGACTCCCTATACACAATATCAAAAGTTCAGCAAAATTCCACATAGATCACTTTTCCATAAGAAATGTGCGGGGTCCTTTGTCATTTTTATTTAGCAGCGTGTTATCTGACAAATGAATGTTTTGCTTTATGGATCTAAATTTATTTCGGCTCATGCTCTCTCTCACGACACGAACTTCTTTATCTTCATCATGTCAGTTTGTGGAAGATGATGATACCCAGATAATATAAGTACACCAATGAATCTCTTCAAGTCTATTTCGGTAAGATCAAAATCATGACGGTTGTTTTGAGAAGCATAAGTATTTGAAAAATTCACAATATTATCAATCACTTCCTTGTCGAAAAACAGCGAAAATATTTCAAAAGGTGTCTTACCACCATGTTCAGCTTTTATATTCTCTATATGTCTATTGGAAAAGACTTCCGGTAAGTTAGTATAAGTTGTTGTGTGTGTTTTTTTCCAGTTTGGAACGGTACTTGGTTTGGATTTCGCAGCGTTTCTAGACTCTAACTTAGCACGTTTTGCTAATTCGCTCAATGGAAGGTCATCTTGGGAATCATAATCACTATCAATATTATTGGATTGTATTTCATACGTTCCTGCAATATCCGTTTGCAGTCTCTCCTCCCCGATAATATTTTCGTCAATGTTTTCCTCATCTGTCATTTCGTCTGTTTCTGGTGGCACATAAATAACATCAATCGATTCAGCGTTTTCACAATCTGGGTCCTCTACTAATATAGCAAGTAGCTCTGTAGCAGTTAGTGCCCTTTTCATTTCCCTTTTTGAAAAAGCACTGCAATATTATAAACAAAATTATACCTCTATAACTTCTATAAAATCAAAAACATTTTACCTCATTTTGGTACTAAATTTATCCAAAAAAAAAATATCAACGCAAAAATAATTAGTTCAAAGGTTTTGTTTTATAAAAAAATAACAAGCGAGACGTAGTTTTCATGCTGCATTCGCGCTTCAGTTTGTCAAGTCTCACCAACTGTGAACCCTCAACAAGAAGATTTGCTGGCGAAATCACATGTAGCTGCTCAGGTAGGCAATATGAAATACACATCACGATGATGCGAATATATGTACCCTTTTCGGCCAAGGGTGCGTATACGCATCCACTACATATATATGTCAATATGAAAGTCGATTTGTAAATCTAAGTGGAAACAAATTATAGGATTATCAAAATAAATATTTTTTACTTATGTCATGCATAAGAGAAGCAGTTAGCTAATATTTTCTAGCTAAAAACAATGGGTATTTGTTGGAAAATAGGTGAAAAAGTTCAAAATGGCACATTTTCAAAAAAAAAAAATATATATTAGAAATGAAAAATTAAGGAAATAAAAATACTTAGTAAACTCTCTGAACGGTTGTCATACGATTTTGTGTATGAAAAACCGGAAAATTTCCTAGCTGGCCTCAGAAAAAAAATTAGAATGGAAAGGTGCGTGAACGCACCTTTGGCAGATAATGGGTTAACCACTGTAGCTCCAATAAACTTTTAAACACAAAATTCTTACGTGTTCAGGGCAAAGAAATCGTGAGTTCCATTAATATAAGCAATTTCGTCTTCGGTGAATGGTGGTAAACGTGATCTGGTGAAACCTTCCTGGGCACTTCGATTGCCGATTCTATCGATCATTACTTGTGGCCAGTTTCCTACAAAGACTGGGTTAGCATACATACCAACCTACAAAAATAAAATCTATTCATAATTCATGATCTAAAACAATGTTTAGCTATTGATATGAATGTACTGTTTGGGATTTCTATTCTGTTGGAGACTTTTGTTACTTAAATATTCGAATACCTATTAATTTTTTAGCAATAAATCAAAATATTGATATTGACGGTATCCTTTTATGGTAGGCAAACGAAACGCAAATATTGGAAAGCATAACTTATTGCCCAGACGCTATTTCACTCCCCAATCTGTTTCTTTGATAGTAATGTTGTAATTTGCTTACAGTGTACATTGGAACTATTTTACTTTTTAAACAAATATTACCAGATACCTAGTTGTTAGAGATCAGAAAATGTTTAATTAAAATAACCAAAGCCAAAGCTTCCTTTTTAATTTGAATTGATGAAACATTTTCTTGCCTCGACTAGGATTTAAACCCAGGATCCTCGCATTTCCAGTGCAACTTTCTACTTACTGAGCTACCAAGACCTGTACCATTTCTACCAAGTCTTTCATCAATTTTGAGTTGTTAGTTGTGAAGACCAACGGTAACCTTCGGCAATTATCATTGGTATCGGAGTGAGTTAGAAGGTATAAGGGAAACACAATCGCAATGAATGGCTGTTGTGGAATCCATTATCCCTACAACCACAAATGCGTCGTCGACATATAGCGACTTCAGCAGGTATCGGGATGGGACGCCCAACCAACAATTTCAAGCCAATCATTTTACAATTTTTACAAGTTGTATCGTCTGTTATATAATTAAAGTGTGTTGGATTTTCGTGGCATGCAGACGTTTCAATTAAAATTGATGAAAAATTTTCTTGCCTCGACTAGGATTTGAACCCAGGACCCTCGCATTTCCAGTGCAACACTCTACTTACTGAGCTACCAAACCTTGTTTCATTTCTACCTTTGTGCTGGATTCAGGTAAGATACAAATATTGTAATTAGTTCAATGTTAGAGGATCCAGGGCAACCTTGTTATTCAGCATGTCTAACCCTCAAATATCACGTAAAAATATTTGACGTAGATGATAGATTATGAAGGTTAGTAGTTATTTATTATAAGATAATTGTGCTTAAAATTAGAAACATCTTGCCTTCATCTAAACTGTATCAATTTAAATAATTCAATTCCTTAGACTTTTGATAGAACTGGTTGCTTAACTTCTTGGCCTGTAGTTGATGCTGGCGAACCTTAACTCAAGATATCCAAGTATATCACATGGCGATCCTGCCAGTTACATGTTGAGAAGCTTTAAATAGTCAGTAGTTGAGTTCAAATTACATAAGAAAAAATATATACGGATGATATTCGAAAGTTACGCCTGTGATTTTAGTGAAAGTTAGTGCGATACTTAAACTATAGGGAAATCAAGTTTAAAACACGCAGAAATCACCGATTTGGGTGTCGTTAACTCAAATTTTATAGTAGAGCAGGAATCAATTCAGATGCCCCAAGACATTAGAGTGATGTTATAGATTTTTACCATAGCAGTTATATTGTTGGTACTTATAAAGCTTGAACAGACGTACCGCAGAAACTTGAAGAAAAATCTATCCAGAAGCATAGTTTTGAGAGCAGCAGCCCGAGAACCAGAGGACATCTAGTTGAATCTTGTGGAATAAAACGCAAGGTTTTGTTCCAATCATCTGGATTTGCGAGAATAGCAAGACTTTAGGCAAGCACGTAGGATTAATGTGATGTAAGTCATAACGTATTTTTATTATTTTTATTTTATTTTGTTGCTGATTGTGCCGAAAAAAACTGATAATAGTGGCGTTAAATCCTTCCGTGTGGTTATAGATTATAGGATGCTAAACAAACAACTAAATGATGACGAGAAATTTCCATTGCCAAAGATTTCCGAAATTTTGGATTCATTGTTAGGAGCGATATATTTCTCTCATTTAGATTTGGCGCAAGGTTATTATCAGGTTGAATAAGACCCAGAAAGTCGACCGGTTACTGCTTTTACAACCGATAGTGGTCAATTCCAGATGAAGAGATTACCTATGGGTCTAAAAATTAGCCCAAGTGCATTTTCACGACTCATGACGTTTGCGATGTCTGGGTTAAATTATGACGCATGCCTAATCTATTTGGACGATTCGATTGTCTTTGGCAACTCGTTGCAGAGTTACAATAGGAACTTGATGAAAGTTTTTCAAAAGCTCAGGGAAGCTCACTTAAAACTTAACCCCAAGAAATGCGAGTTTGCAAAGAAGGAAATTCTTTATCTAGGGCATGTTATATCGGCAGAGGGAGTTTCACCAGATCCAGATAAAATTGAAGGTATGGCCCACTATCCGATTACAAAAAGCACGGAGCAAGTAAAGCGATTTGTCGCATTCGCTAACTATTACAGGAAGTTCATCAGAAATTTTGCTGAGATAGCGCAACCGCTGAATAATTTAAGTGTAAAGGAAAAACTTTAGAATGGACTAAGGAATGCGAGCAGGCTTTCGAAGTCTTAAAACAGACTTTAGTGAATTCACCTATATTACAATACCCAGATTTTTCAGAAGAAAACCTGTTCGTTCTTAGAACGGATGCAAGTGACTTTGCAGTAGGCGCGGTTTTATCGAATTCTAATGACAGACCCGTTGCCTACGCTTCAAGGGTATTAAATAAGGAGAGAAAAATTATTGCACAATCGAAAAGGAGTTACTGGCCATCATTTGGGCAGTGAAGCATTTTCGACCTTATTTGTTTGGTAGAAAGTTTAAAATATTGACAGACCATCGCCCTCTAATCTATTTGTTTAATATGGTGAATCCATCAAGCAGACTTACAAAATTTAGATTAGTGCTCGAGGAGTATGATTTCTCAGTACACTATGTCAAAGGTTCGGAAAATGTCCCAGCAGACGAACTATCACGTATAGTTATAGAGTCGGACGAATTGAAAGAAATGACGGGAAAGATATGCGAGAGTATAAAAGTAATGACTAGAGCTCAGGTAAGAAACAAAGCGATGGGTGTGCCAAATGACATAAAGACACAGATTGATGATAAAAATAGGCTTGATCACCCTTTTGTAGTCGAGATCTTAAAACAGGCCATTGACACTGTGGAATTAAGACTTATATTGGAGGAAGAATTTCCAAGACTAAAAAAGCTATAGGCTTATGTAATAAAGTCCTTCACTATTTCAATGATTTTGTATACGATGAGAGCTCACAAATTATTTATTGTATCCAGAAGTACCGATCAGCGTATGACTTAGGTACCATCGTCACCAAAAGTATCTGGGACACAAATAATGCATAATAATCTCCTGGACTAATTCTACTGTCATTAATTTCAATGCATTTAATGCATAGTTTGACAAATATTTGACAATAAAATTCATATAATAGGACAAGAGCAAGTGATGCTGTCCCAGTTACTTTTGGTGACGATGGTATATCGTTGAGGCATCTGGACACATTGTACACAGAAAAAAAAAATTCCGGAAATATATGTGACAAGGAACACAGAAAGCGCTAAATTTTTAAAATCATTCAATAAGTATAAACCTCAATTAATAGGAATGTCTATAAAGGTAAATGTTGTTGAAGACGTGGAAAGCATAGAAGACAAAAAGCTAAGGCATATAATTTTGAATGATTTTCACACGCTTCCCACAGGAGGACATGCGGGTGTACAACGCATGTACAACAATATAAAACGACAATATTTTTGGCCAGGTTTCAAGAAAGACGTTTGTCATTTTGTTGAGAAATGTGATAGCTGTCAGAGATATAAACATTCAAATTCTAAGAAAATACCTATGGTGATTACAAGCACACCTAAATCCGCATTCGAAAAGATAGTGTTAGATTTGGTAGGCCCTCTCCCTATGGATAACCAAAATAAAAAATATATTTTGACACTTCAATGTGATCTGACAAAATTTTTAGAAGGATATCCACTACCCGACAAAGAAGCTCGAACGGTTGCAAAAGCTTTCGTAGAAAATTTTGTACGAACCAAGGAACGGAATTCATGGCTAGCACCTTCAAAGAGGCTTGTAGGTGACTTAACGTCCAGCATTTAAATTCTACAGCGTACCATCATAAACGCTTGGTGGTCTTGAAAATTCACACAAACATTTGGGTTCGTATCTGCGTATGCAATTAGCAAATATAATGACACAAATTGGAGCGATTAGGTCCGTATTGGTTTTTCATATAACAACACAGTAAATACATCAACGCGATATACATACATCGTATGAACTTGTTTTTGGTAAAATAAGCAAAATTTCTTCGAACATTAAAAGACAAATCGATCCTATTTATAATTTTGATGACTACCCATTTTAACTGAAATTTAGGCTACAGACGGCGTGGAACGATGCAAGAAATAACTTAATTGTTTCAAAAACTAAGCGTATTCAAAGAAATTCTAATAAAAACTGTTAAAATTAAAGATATAGTGTTGGAGATATGGTTCTTGTTGAAAATAAAAGCTTGGAAAATAAACTTGACCCACTATTTAAAGGTCCTTATGAAATTTTAGATGTAAGATGTAAGAGGAGCAAACCTAGTTTTAAGTGTGAACTATAAATCTAAGGAGATGCATAAGGATATGGTTAAGCCTTATCTTAGCTGAAATTAATTGTCTTCTTATTAGTAGATAGGTAATTGTCTGGAATGAAATTCATAGTTTTTCAGCAAGTATTTTTTTCAAAAAATGCTGAAACACGTCAATTGATTTTGAGTTTTTCACATTATTCGGTTAAATAAAAAAAAAAAGTGCCAACCCCCTAACCCCCAGCTACCCCAACTTTGTTTTTAAATAGAAACCTATGTCTTGTGGGGGCTCGTTGAAAAGCTCATGAAAATGGAATCTAGCCATATAGAATAGACAAGTTTTGTGTTTTTAATAATCATTTCTTTTTTGTTACTGAATTAAAACTTTTTTTTATAAAATAAGACTCTATCAAATTCTACTCACAGGTGATTTAATGCCTCAAATGCTGAAAATTTCCTCCATTTACTGTATGGCATTCT